CGCATGCGTCACCCGGCACAAGCGTCAACATTCACAGCGAGTAAACTAGACAGGTCCAAAACACCCCCCTCAGCATTGACACACATGTGGAACGGAGCTTTGGGCCAAGAGCCACTTTTGGACCATCCTGTTGCAGATGCTATATGTTAGCATTGGCTAATTCTTATTCCAGGTCCACCCCCATTGGCCCGGGGTGGTATTGCAGCATGTCAGCGCATGTCATTTTGGCCACTTTTGAGCTGGGACCCGCCCCCACTGTGTCTGATTGTCCAGAGAGTAAAAAGTAGTGCACTCAAAATTCCCACAATGCATCTCGAATTGAAGTGAGCAGTGGTGGTCACTAGAATGGTCAATATAAACCACAATGCATTGCGGGCAGAAGAAAAAATAGCACGGAGGGACGAGGAGCGGGACATTAGCTACAAAAGTGAGTATTTAATCATCATATGTATTAAATGTGTAAACTGTGATATATTGTTGATGATAAGCTGCAAAATACACATTTGAAGTCAGAATAGCGATCACTTTTCAATGCGACCCAGCCAATGTTATGCCTAATTAAAACTTAAATTCAACTTTTACCTTTACCTCCTAATGGCCGCTCCTCTCTCCGCTCCTCTCTCCGCTCGGTGATCCATGCTACTGAGGGACGCTCACGTACGACGGCACGGCCTGAAAATACAGCAGTGTGCAGCGTCCGAATCGCCATCAGAATGAGTGCACTCACTCAGTCACACACTCACTATATAGTCGTGCACTATGTAGTGAGTGAGTGACTAGGGTACAGTGTGCACATTCAGATACAGCCCTTGACTCTGACCTTGTAACATAGGAGTTTCATTGACTTGTTTGTAGGTTGTGTGTCTACAGATTGTGTGTGTGTCTCTAGATAATGTCAGTGTTGGTTTGAGTTTTGTGTGTGTCTCTAGAGGTTGTGTGTCTCCAGATTGTGTGTGTGTGTTTCTAGATAACGTTAGCGTGTCTCTGGAAGGATCTTCTTGTTCTGGAAAAGTTCGTTTTTCTAAAGACGGAGGAAAAAAATATGAATACTTCTGTGGAGATAATTTTGGTAAGTTTCTTCAACTCTCAGCTCACCACCCCCAATGCAGACGCACAACCCCCAATGCAGACGCACAACCCCCAATGCAGACGCACAACCCCCAATGTAGACCCACCACCCCCAATGCCGACCCACCACCCCCAATGCAGACGCACAACCCCCAATGCAGACCCACCACCCCCAATGCAGACGCACAACCCCCAATGCAGACGCACAACCCCCAATGCAGACGCACAACCCCCAATGCAGACCCACCACTCCCAATGCAGACGCACAACCCCCAATGCAGACGCACAACCCCCAATGCAGACGCACAACCCCCAATGCAGACTCACCACCCCCAATGCAGACGCACAACCCCCAATGCAGACGCACAACCCCCAATGCAGACCCACCACCCCCAATGCAGACCCACCACCCCCAATGCAGACCCACCACCCCCAATGCAGACGCACAACCCCCAATGCCGACCCACCACCCCCAATTCAGACGCACAACCCCCAATGCAGACCCACCACCCCCAATGTAGACCCACCACCCCCAATGCAGACTCACCACTCCCAATGCAGACTCACCACCCCCAATGTAGACCCACCACCCCCAATGCAGACCCACCACCCCCAATGCAGACGCACAACCCCCAATGCAGACGCACAACCCCCAATGCAGACGCACAACCCCCAATGCAGACGCACAACCCCCAATGCAGACGCACAACCCCCAATGTAGACTCACCACCCCCAATGCAGACTCACCACCCCCAATGCAGACGCACAACCCCCAATGCAGACCCACCACCCCCAATGCAGACCCACCACCCCCAATGCAGACCCACCACCCCCAATGCAGACCCACCACCCCCAATGCAGACCCACCACCCCCAATGCAGACGCACAACCCCCAATGCAGACGCACAACCCCCAATGCAGACCCACCACCCCCAATGCAGACGCACAACCCCCAATGCAGACGCACAACCCCCAATGTAGACTCACCACCCCCAATGCAGACTCACCACCCCCAATGCAGACTCACCACCCCCAATGCAGACCCACCACCCCCAATGCAGACGCACAACCCCCAATGCAGACGCACAACCCCCAATGCAGACCCACCACCCCCAATGCAGACCCACCACCCCCAATGCAGACGCACAACCCCCAATGCAGACGCACAACCCCCAATGCAGACTCACCACCCCCAATGCAGACCCACCACCCCCAATGTAGACCCACCACCCCCAATGTAGACCCACCACCATGTTTTTACAATAATGTAATAATATTATTTATTATAATGAATATTTTGGAAATTAGATTATTTTAGATTTTTACAGTTTTTTCCTGTTGCTTGAACATAGTTCGCCCATAGTTCCAAAACTCTACACACACGAGAACCTGACACACACTGACACACACTGACACACACTGACACACACTGACACACACTGACACACACTGGGACATAAACCAGACACATCTGCATCAAAATGAACCTCCTTTATCAAAACTAAACAATCATTTGTCAAAATGAAACTCTGAGGACAAAATGACACACACTTGCATCTCGTGAACACACTTTCAGTTTAGGAGAAACACACTGCAGTACTTTACATAAAACACTGCAGTACTTTATACAAAACACTGCAGTCACTTTCACTGTTTTTATTCTGTTCATCAGTTAGTTTTCTGTGAAGCTCAATGGAACTGTTTTTGTTCAACAAAGGTTTACCAACAACCAGGAAGTACTGAAAGGTTACAAATAATATCACCTCAATACTGTACATCACAGTACTACAGTGTACTGTACATCACAGTACTACAGTGTACTGTACATCACAGTACTACAGTGTACTGTACATCACAGTACTACAGTATACTGTACATCACAGTACTACAGTGTACTGTACATCACAGTACTACAGTATACTGTACATCACAGTACTACAGTGTACTGTACATCACAGTACTACAGTACTACAGTATACTGTACATCACAGTACTACAGTGTACTGTACATCACAGTACTACAGTATACTGTACATCACAGTACTACAGTGTACTGTACATCACAGTACTACAGTGTACTGTACATCACAGTACTACAGTACTACAGTATACTATACATCACAGTACTACAGTGTACTCTACATCACAGTACTACAGTACTACAGTATACTGTACATCACAGTACTACAGTGTACTGTACATCACAGTACTACAGTACTACAGTATACTGTACATCACAGTACTACAGTATACTGTACATCACAGTACTACAGTGTACTGTACATCACAGTACTACAGTACTACAGTATACTGTACATCACAGTACTACAGTGTACTGTACATCACAGTACTACAGTATACTGTACATCACAGTACTACAGTGTACTGTACTGTATTTGTGTCAATGCAGTTAAACAAAAGAACCCTACTGTAGAACGAGGCAGTTGTGTGTGTGTGGATCATGGATCATGTTCCTGCTCAGACTGTTTCCACAAAGACACGTCCTGTTGTTGGTGAACAGTTGCCGACCACCTCCAGATGTTCTTTTAGTCATTTTGTATCAATAATAAACTACTACTACTAATTGTTACTATAGGTTTAGTTTGTTACATTATTGAAAAATGTGTACAGTACTGTGACATCTCAGTTTTATGTACTTTACTGTATTGTATGTTTCACAAAAGTACATTTTTTTCAAAAGGAGCAATGGCCAACTTGCAAAACAGTACATGTGATACAGTACTGTACTGTAAATACTGTCTGCAGTAGAGAGTTACAGTACATGTGATACGGTACTGTACTGTAAATACTGTAGATACAGTCTGCAGTAGAGAGTTACAGTACATGTGATACAGTACAATACTGTAAATACTGTAGATACAGTATGCAGTAGAGAGTTACAGTACATGTGATACAGTACAATACTGTAAATACTGTCTGCAGTAGAGAGTTACAGTACATGTGATACGGTACTGTACTGTAAATACTGTAGATACAGTCTGCAGTAGAGAGTTACAGTACATGTGATACAGTACAATACTGTAAATACTGTAGATACAGTCTGCAGTAGAGAGTTACAGTACATGTGATACAGTACAATACTGTAAATACTGTAGATACAGTCTGCAGTAGAGAGTTACAGTACATGTGATACAGTACAGTACTGTAAATACTGTAGATACAGTCTGCAGTAGAGAGTTACAGTACATGTGATACAGTACTGTACTGTAAATACTGTAGATACAGTCTGCAGTAGAGAGTTACAGTACATGTGATACAGTACAGTACTGTAAATACTGTAGATACAGTCTGCAGTAGAGAGTTACAGTACATGTGATACAGTACAATACTGTAAATACTGTAGATACAGTCTGCAGTAGAGAGTTACAGTACATGTGATACAGTACAGTACTGTAAATACTGTAGATACAGTCTGCAGTAGAGAGTTACAGTACATGTGATACAGTACAATACTGTAAATACTGTAGATACAGTCTGCAGTAGAGAGTTACAGTACATGTGATACAGTACAGTACTGTAAATACTGTAGATACAGTCTGCAGTAGAGAGTTACAGTACATGTGATACAGTACTGTACTGTAAATACTGTAGATACAGTCTGCAGTAGAGAGTTACAGTACATGTGATACAGTACAATACTGTAAATACTGTAGATACAGTCTGCAGTAGAGAGTTACAGTACATGTGATACAGTACAGTACTGTAAATACTGTAGATACAGTCTGCAGTAGAGAGTTACAGTACATGTGATACAGTACAGTACTGTAAATACTGTAGATACAGTCTGCAGTAGAGAGTTACAGTACATGTGATACAGTACAGTACTGTAAATACTGTAGATACAGTCTGCAGTAGAGAGTTACAGTACATGTGATACAGTACAGTACTGTAAATACTGTAGATACAGTCTGCAGTAGAGTTACAGTACATGTGATACAGTACAATACTGTAAATACTGTAGATACTGTCTGCAGTAGAGAGTTACAGTACATGTGATACAGTACTGTACTGTAAATACTGTCTGCAGTAGAAAGTAAAGTAAAGTGCAAAGCAGTACTTTTGGAATGGTCAGTCTGTGTTTTAGGTTCAGTACAAAAGCTTTGGGTTCTGTAACTTGAAACCTCACCTATAACCTGAAACCACACCCACAACCTGAGACCACGCTCACAACCTGAGACCACGCCCACAATCTGAGACCACGCCCACAACCTGAGACCACACCCAGAACCCAAGACCACGCCCACAACCTGAGACCACGCCCACAACCCGAGACCACGCCCACAACCTGAGACTATTCCCACAACCTGAGACCACACCCAGAACCCAAGACCACACCCACAACCTGAGACCACGCTCCCACGGTCCTTTTTCCTCACAGACAATGTGACGGTAGTCCTCAGTCTACCGTCTACCTAGTGTTGCAGAAAGAGAAAGTGTGTTGCAAAAGGAGAAAGTGTGTTGCAGAAAGAGAAAGTGTGTTGCAGAAAGAGAAAGTGTGTTGCAAAAGGAGAAAGTGTGTTGCAAAAGGAGAAAGTGTGTTGTAGAAAGTAAAGTAAAGTGCAAAGCAGTACTTTTGGAATGGTCAGTCTGTATTTTAGGTTCAGTACAAAAGCTTTGGGTTCTGTAACTTTGGTCCAAGCGTCTGTCTGTAGTGTTCAAGCAACAGGAAAAAACTGGAATTGTAGAAGCAAACAGAAGCATCACAAACAAGACTCAAGAAATGAGTTCAGACCTGGGTTAGACCTGGTTCAGACAGTTCAGTCCTGGTTCAGACCTGGTTCCTGGGGTCCGCAGGGCAGCAGGAGGGCAAGGTCCTCTGTCGGTCCCTGAACTGTGGAGACCTGATGGAGATCCCGACCTGGTCCTGGTCTGGATCCGGAACCATCTCCACCAACTGTTTGGGAGAAGAAAAAAACCTCTGGGAATGTAGACCAAAGGAGAATAGATGCTCCAAGGTCGCCTACGTGTACTGCAAAGGTAAGTACATGTACAGGTACAGGTATAGGTACAAGTATGAGTAGGTACAAGGACAGGTACAAGTACAGGTACTTGTACAAGTATAGGTATAAGTACAGGTACAGATACAAGTACAAGTACAGGTACAGGTATAAGTACAAGTACAAGTAAAAGTACAGGTACAAGTACAGGTACAGTCACAAGTATAAGTAAGTACAGGTGTAAGTACGTACAAGTACAAGTACAAGTAACACCACAAGTCCAACCCTCGGCCCACAGGGCACAAGTGGCTGCGTCTCCGTGGAAACAGCTCTAACACCTGCTCTGGTGTCATGGAGAGGAAGACTGAGGAGACTTGGAAACCAGTGATGGTCAAAAAGCAAAAGGAGCTTCAGCGCTGGTGTCAGGACATGTTCTGTGGAGACCACAGCAGTCACCAGCATGAAGGCAACGCTACGCATCTAACCTGCACAGGTAAGACTACACCCACAACTTGAGACCACACCCTTAACCCAAGACCACGCCCACAACTTGAGACACGCCCCGAAAATCATAGACCACTCCCACAACTTAAGGCCACACCCAGAACCTGAGACCACACCCACAACCTGAGACCACACCCACAACTTGACACCGCACCCAAAACCTGAGACCGTGCCCATAACCAGAAATACACAACCACAATCTGAGACCACACCCACAACCTGAGTCCGTGCTCACAACTTGAAACCTCGCCTATAACCTGAAACCACACCCACAACCTGAAAACACGCTCACAACATGAGACCACGCCCACAACCTGAGACCACGCCCACAACCCGAGACCACGCCCACAACCTGAGACCACACCCAGAACCCAAGACCACGCCCACAACCTGAGACCACGCCCACAACCTGAGACTATTCCCACAACCTGAGACCACACCCAGAACCCAAGACCACGCCCACAACCTGAGACCACGCTCCCACGGTCCTTTTTCCTCACAGACAATGTGACGGTAGTCCTCCGGCACGAAGAAAAAACCAGTCAGTGTTTCGGCACGGTGCACGTGAACCACCAGGGGACGCTGTGGCCAGTGTGCGCCACGGACTGGAAGGAGCAGAACGCACGACTGGTGTGTCAGGAGCTGGGCTGTGGACACGTGAGTATGAACCCCAACCCTTTGAACCCTCACCCTAACCCTGACTGAATGGTGGTTGGTTTCTTTGAGTTTTCGGCCTGAGGTTGTCTTTGGGGGGTGACAGTGGCTCAGTTGGTAGAGCATTAGTCCTTGGACCTAATCGTCGTGGGTTTCGATCCCACCACGACCCTGTCATCCTGCAGGAAGGATGAGTGAGGGACTGGTGCTTTGTGAATTGGGTCGCAGCTCTGACTGCCGCCCCCTGACCCAGAAATGGATGATGAAGGGATGTAAATGAAATGAAAATGAAGTAAAAAATGTTTTGTCTTTTGTC